AAAATCGGCGTCTGCGATGCAGAAGACTTTGACTATTTGAATTTTTATACATTATCGCTTCAGGAATCAGTCAATTATGTGCTTTCATCTCGAATCTTCAAGGCGCTAACTTTTGTAGCGTCTACCTGGAAGTTCTTCGACCAGCAAATGCGCTGCACTCGGTAATGGTAGCATTAAGACCGCAATGACCAAATTTTATTTTCGAAATCGTATAATCACGATAATCATTATACTAATAATGCAAATAATAAGAACTTTTGAATAAATATCCACTTAAGCTCGAGCGTATTGCGCTTCCTGAGCTACGTGCAATAAAAAGAATAAAAGTGCAATTAAAATCTCAGGTAGAGAATCATCCGTGTCATGCCTTAGAAAAGATCAATTAATCTTTTTTTTCTTTTAAGGAAGTTTCTTTTGCAGTGCTAACATACACCATTTTTCTTTAACGTAACAATCATAGCGGCTTTAACAAAAATATTTCATAGTCGAACTAGATGATACCATCACATTTTATTATTGATGTTGTAACGTAGTTTTTAATATTCAACTCTCAACTGCGTTTTGGTCATTGCTATATATCCTATAAACCAATATATTCTTACAGTGCACTGCCATTTTACGGCGAGCACGCGATCAGGCACTTATATATTATAATAATCAACAGGGTCGGCTTAATTTTCTCATACATCCGAATTGCAGAAATCGCTTATAACGTATAATTTGCCGAGCAGGCTCGATAATTGAATTTTTCTTTGCATGTAAGTTCTATTACCAATATTTACGTAATCGTATATTATTGAAGAATGATATATTTATATCTAACAAGAGAGCTTCTTAAAATATACGTTAGCAATGTTTTATAATTTTATTTCAGTTGTGATGTCTTGTGATTTTTTCATTTCAGCCGACCCTTAAATTCATAGATATACACATTAGCATTCAATTAATATCTAATACAATTTGTATCGCCTAATATGTAAAATGCTTCATAATAATTGCCACGATGTACACATCTACACACATATGTTTTGTACTTTTATATAAATATCTACGGTAAGTTAAGGGAGATAATATGGTCGGCATATTGCCGAGATAATTAAACTATACAATTATTCCGCTTACAGAAGTGCAAGAGCACAGTGTGCAAAGGAATACCAAAGCAAAGAAACACGCGACGAGTAATGTCAGCTCGTTGAAGCTAATTAAACCGTCATCCGTGATCCGTTTATCGTGCATGTCAGTTGCGTCCGAAGACTGTGGTTGTGTGTCTTCACGAAAATTGATGTCTTTTACGAAAATAATCCGTTCACGGCGTACCATCATCCTTTGCAAAATAGAATCAGTGTTAAATTGCGATTTGCACTGTAATGCAATAAAGCTTAAGTTTAGCGAGCTATTACTGGATACAGGGCTTTACGTTACTGCAGATACGATTACTTTGCGAAGAGAGAGTTATTTTTTAATTTAAAACCGCCCTGCCTAATTAAAATAATTTTCGCCATATTATGTAATTGTATTGTAAATAATACGTCGCTCTGACATATCAACAGATAAGTGATTTAAGTTAATCGTACCTGCTTTATACCACGGATTTTGCGTATAAACTGTATGATCCATATATCTATCTAATAAGTTAT